CTCATAGATCCAGTCCTTCCAAGCTTATTTATCACGTAAGGTCGCTAGCTTGATGTATATACAACATCTATATCACCATATATGATGATTTAGCCCCAAATACCACAACTTAAGGTCATAACCTCCATTGTTCTTCATAAAGCTTGATGAGTGAGGCTCTCTAGACCTCTATGGATCCAGATCCAAAGCCTCATCACTAGAAAGGGACTATTTAGGCATCAAATCAACCCAACAAAGGCCACAAGAAACCCTAAATCCAAATATACTTCATAAAACAGAAGATGAGCTGAATTAATACCTCAAGTGCGATGATCTAAGCTTCAAATCCATTGTATAGCAACCTCCTTTGCTTCCTATTTGTTAGGACCTCCTTCTTCTTGCTAGACAACACCACAAAGGTCAAAAATGGATTCCTTTCTCTCTCTCAAAACGCTCAAGCACTCTAGGGTTTCTCTCTATGGATTGGTGAGCACAAATGACGGCCATAAGGCCCTTTAAATAGGCCCTAAACCCGAGAAATTAGGGTTTCATTAAACAGCGCTGACTCGCCGAGTCCACCAATTCGACTCGTCGAGTCCGGTCATTAATCCGGATGAGAAATTGCGTCACTACTCGGCGAGTCTATGCACCAACTCACCGAGTTCCTCTTCAAAACTCAAAATAAAAAGAATAAATATAATACCTGAAATTCCGGATGTTACACTGGAATGTTTCAAAGTTAGAATTTTTCAATCTGTTTAAGATTACAAAACTTAATGCAAGGAGGTTGTTTCTAAGGAGCTGATCTCCTTTGGAATGCTATGTAATGGTTGTTGTCAAGTCTTTCTGACTTCGTGCATAATCATTACAAGAGGATCAATGCATATAAGTTTAGAATCTAACAGATTTCAGTAAATCGCATGAATTTGGAATTCTTGCATTTGCAGTAAGGATTTGGGACTGTGAAAAGAGGATCATTGGAGTTATGATCAATAGATCTAGTTCACAATGTAAAGATCATAGACAAACATAGTATGCATACTTGGTGTATGGCATGACTAGTGTTTAGAAAACATAGTGTACATGCTTGGAGCATGGGACAACTATTGTTTTAAATTCAAGAATAAAGTTGAGAACTGAAACGGTATACAATGAATAATGTGTAATCATATGGTGATAAATAGAAGGTGTTTTATTTATGTTCATAGGTTTTGATACCATATTGGATTCAATTATTATTGTGTTTCATTTTGTATGGTTTGACTTCCAGAATAAACTAGGTTATTCTTCCGGAATGACTAAGTTATTCAAACAATCCATATTCGGTCATATGCTGGAAGTAGATATGAATCAAGACTGTCATGGGTTGGCTTGTAGAGGTCTAAGGTGTTGGACAAAGGGCTACAACACTCATGAGTGCTCATAAGTTCTAAGTATTGGATTCAACCCGCGCTCATTGGAATCACTTCATGGATTTTATCACGAGTGATCATGAGACAATAATATCTTATATTTCTTTAAACCTAGAGATATGAGTTGTTACTATGAGTTGGTTCTACATTAATTTCACAAAAACGCACTCGGTAACTCGGTGTTATAAAACGTGCCTTTGTGTATGATTCAACAAGTAGTAGAACAAGCCATATGAGTCGAAGTTTATCCATTCATTTTACCATCGGGATAAAAGCGATATCTGTGGGCCCCTCGATGATTTAATGATGACACATGTGAGAGCTTGGCCAAGCCATGACTGATTTGATTTGTTCAATTAGTCAGTCGTCATGAATCGGAAATCGGGAAACAACAAATGGACAGAGAGAATGACTATAATCCATGTCTCAGTCCATATGATATCTAGAATGGGGGAATATATGATCCCTTATCTAATGGACAAGTTCGTTGAAAAGATCAGAGTTCGACAGCGGCTTTAAGAGCTATGATTGACAGTTAGGTTTTGAAGTCATACTCAATAATAGTTTTAGACTTATCCAAGTGGGAGATTGTTGGATTAATGTCTAAGTCCATAACTATATTTGGTATGTACTTGACCCGACTCGGCGTGGTCCATTTGGGTTGCACTTCACCGACACAATTTATATGGATAGTCTTTTGAGAATAGTATATTTATGATTAATATTAATATATTATAAGTTCTAATATATTAATATGGAATCATATTATTTAACTAGTATTGATCAAGAATTAATTTAGAATTAATTAAGTGATCAAAATGAACTAATTAAATATGGACTCTTATATATATATGGAATGGGCCAAGTTCATTTAGGTTGGGCTAAGCTTCCATGGATAGTCCATGGAGTGTTTAACCCATGGATCATATGAAATGAAAGGTCATGGGTTTAACCCTAGTCTCCATACTATATAAAGATGTCATTGGTTGGTGAAATTGGCACTAGTGTGGGTACACTATGAAGGGCTAGCCGATTTCACTAGAGAGAACCAAGTATCCATATTCTCTAAAGTCTTCCAAGGTGTTTTGGTGATTTGTGATTCCACTTGAGGCTTCCACACTATTGGGGCTAAGCTCTTAAAGCTTAAAGAAATCAAGCTACATCAAAAAGGTATGTTATCTAACTAGTATTTTGTAGTATAAGAACTTCATAATATGCTAGTTAGGATTAAAGCCTTGGAAAGTTCTTATTTGCATGTATAATAGAGAAAACATAGATCCAAGGTTTATAGGGTTGCACGTACACCATAGGAGTGTTAGAATGCTCAAAACCCAACAGAAAGGTCACAACATGATTTGGGTAATCATAGATCGATTGACGAAGAATGCACATTTCATAGTGGCTGATGAGAAGTGTCCTATGGATTAGCTTGCAGATGTCTATGTGTGGGAGATAATAAGACTTTATGTTGTTCCCTTTTCAATTGTATCAGATTGCCACCATCATTTCACTTCTAGGTTTTGGAAAAGCCTACAAGAGGAAATGAGTACGAAGTTGTGTTTGAGTACGACCCACCATCCACAAATTGATGGTCAGAGTGAAAGGACAATTCAAACATCGGAAGATATGTTAAGATCATGTACCTTAGATTTACAAGGTAATTGCAATGGGCATCTACCTCTAGTAGAGTTTTCCTATAGCAATAGTTACCACTCGAGCATTAACCCTTTAAAAGCATTGTACGAACAAAAGTTTCGTATGTCATCTTGTTAGGTTCAAGCTGGTGAGAAGCAGCTTATAGGACCAGAGATAGTCTATTAGACTGCTAAGAAGTTGAAGGTGATTAGGGAAATGATGTTAGCAGCTCAAGATCAACTTGGATCGTGAGAACAATTTTCGAACGGATATTTCTACCTTATGCCTGGGTTGTAAGAAATTCAACATAGGATAATCCAAGTAGACACTTACGATACTAGGTACATAAATCGTAAGCCAAATTACTAGAAAGATTATGTGATAGTTTATAGAAAATGAGAGCTAAATTTCATATGTTTCTTCATAGAAAGAAGAATCGTTTATATAATAAACGAGATTAGGGTTTCATTAGGTTTGGGTCCTCATATGTTGCTTTGGAAGCAAGTCAGTGTAATCCAGATTTTAATGAGGATTTAGGGTAACCAAAACTAACAAGTTTCGTTAGTTTTACCATAATCACTCTTAGGACTATGTTCCCAAAACACTTCAGCGGAACCCCAGCTAGGGGCTCTGCCCTTGGACCTCGCTAGGGGCGCTGCCCCTAAACCCCACCAAAGGGGCGCTGCCCCTTTTGTAACCCCAGACCCTGGGGTGCTACTCTTAGACCCCCGACTTATTGTCGAATCGACTTCTAATTTGATCTTATACATGTGTGGACTCCGCACAAACTCAGATATATATTAGAATAAAAATTATGAAGCTCCTTAGCTCACATATTAACTTCAGTTACATAAAATGATATGGTGACACTAAAATGACCAACAAACAATGATCACATTTGTTTTCGTTATGTTATTTGTTCGTGTGACTAAATGATTTCATAGGTCACACTTTACCGTAAATTAATGTAGTTAAATGGTACTAAATGGCCACATCATTAGAAAATAAATTGTAGTTTTAAGTAATATTCAACGATTCTTTTCACAATTATGTATCACTAATAGCCAACTGATGGTCGTATTATTTTCTTTAAAATTATTTTATGTGACTAAATGAAATCATACATCACAATTAACAAAAATAAATGTTACTAAAAAACACTTGCAAAAATCCCGACTAGGCCCCGATTAATCTCCGATTAATCCCTAGACGCTACTCGACCGATTAGAGGACGCTTAGCGATTAATCCCTACATACATAATGAGTGAAACATTATAAACGATAAAATTTTAACATTTTGAAGAAGTTTTATATCAACGGAAACTATTTGGTGCATGATTAGTATTGTATTAATTATATTAATCTATTTTGTTATCATATTAGTGGTATTTACAAATTTTGATATGATATTAGTCATATTTAATTTTTTAAAATTCAACAAATTAGCAATTAAGGGTACCCGATTAATCCTCCGTCTAGCCGATTAATCCCTTGACATCAGTCCACCGACTAGCTAACGTCAAACGTTTTTTGCAACATTGCTAAAAAATAAAAACTAACCACATCAAATATAAAGTAATCATGATTAACACCAACTCTATTCATGTTATATATGACTAAAATGTAGATTGGAGCGACACTTAATTTAAGGTGGCTGTAAGACACCTATTGTGTCATGACTTACGGTCATAGTTTTGACGAAAAAATGAATAAGTGTCGCCCTAGGATATGGTCACAATTTTAGACCAATTTTAGACCTTAAAAAATAAAAAATATGGTCGTAAATTTTTCTTGTATTGTTCGATTTTGTAAATTTCACGCCGCTTTGCTCACAACCTAAATTTCTTGCTTGTTAAGGCAGAGAAAGTTACTTTAATACTTGTAATTAAGACCCAAAATTTAATAAAAAGGGTGTTTCCTGCTACTTAATTAGAAGAAAAAAAAAAATAAGAGGCGGTGCTCATAAGTCATAACATGTTGGGTACCTAAAGTTGTTACCTACTCCTATGAATTAAATATATAACTTTAATCCCTTAAACTGCGATCGGTTCAACGGTCAAGATCTTATCTAAGTATTCATTTGGTTCTTCATATAAGTTCCACGTAGAGCCCGAATCCAAGAAGCCAAGAAACTCATAAGTGCTAAACAAGAAATGGGTGGAAACAAGAAGTCATTCTTCTCGTTCTTTAGCATCTTCAGGTCCAAGAAGAGTGCAACAGGAGGGGATGATACTTGGGATGAGGCCGTGAAGGCTTACAAAGTGTATCCTAGTGATCAAGACCGAGGTGGAAGATGGGCTGATCCTCGTATTGACAGTAAAGCTTCGGCTTACATTGATGACAGGACCAACAAATGGAACACAAACGATGTATCAAGCTGATAGATATCAGTTGAAACAAATGATGCAACGTAGATCTTTCTACATTTGTTATGTAACAACATACATATTAAATAATTTGTTTTGTTTGTTTATATTAGTTATAGTACGTACCCCATGGATCTTTTCTATAAATCTTGTCAAACCTTGTATATTAGCAATGGGCTTTCACTATATTATATTATTATTGTTTGTTTGAATTTAACTAACTATTTTATGTGATTCGATTCATAAATAAAATGAAATAATAACGATAATTATATAAGTGAACATTTCAACAATTGTGTGTTCTCTCATGCAAGATGATCACGTAAATTGCTATTTCATCATATATTCGTAGTTTTTTTTTTTCATTCTCACAGTTTACTTTACCTTACATAGTCTTTCAATTTCAATGTGCTCGTCGGATAGTTACAAAACACCCTAGATTATTTCATTTGCCTTAGATTGGAGTCTTATGTCTTGCTAATCAAGGTTAATGCTTTCGACTAACTTGGTAATGTTAATTTCTAACCACAAACAACTCATTTAAAAACAAATACAAAGTAATACAACATGATATGACCAACTAGTTGAAACTTTTACAAGATAATTAACCTTAAGACTTTCGTTCTACTGTTGCGCTTATATATCACCTTTTATGTAAGTAGAGTCACGAAAAGCTTCAAAATTAAAGTTAATTGTTTCCTACTTCTTTATATAAAACTTAATGCATCATAGTCGCATGTGGAATTCACTAGCTAGCATATTGTTTATAAATATATTTTGGAAGACGGTGGCATCCAAGAAAGTTCGAGGAAGAGCTTGTTAGCGGTGGTCATTATTTTTGTTACACCAAACAGATTATCTCTATGTTCGATTGAAATGAAATATCCCTTTTTGATATCCACTCAGTAGGTAGCTTTATACTGCCCAATGTTGGCCGAAAAGGGAGATTCTCTTTTTAAAATAGTTTATTAACCCCAGTCCACTAATATTTGCATCTTCGAAAGCTTAAATAACAAACCACACAATGGCTGATTAATAACCAACGAGAGCAAGAGCATATCTAAACGAACAAAGATCCATCTTTTTACTGTTGTAGCAGAAGTCGTGGCCTAGTTATAGTTTCTCCGTTAAACAGGTTTGAGAATTCTATTAATTGATTAAACCAAAGATTTACAACGGAAAATGCCAGTTAAATTCATACATCGTCTTTGTTTAGTGTTTGTCTTTGGCCAGAATAGGATCTTGGATATGTCTATACATGGTTCAACTCCTTTAGACCCTTAAATAAATTATTATCTCGGTTTCTTTTTTACATATTCTCCCATATGAGTTGTCTTGAACATTTGATGACTTTTATCCCACCAAACACCCCCCTCGTACTCAACCGTTTCATTCCAACACTCCTAAGTTTTGTGAAGCATCTACAGCTCTCTGTTTTCCACCTCCTTTTATTGAAAGTGAAGGATATTATGAACATTTGATGACACCACATTTTTTACACTTTCCTTTTACGTGATTTTAAATGTACATAAAAATTGACGTTAGAAAGTTCAAGTCATTAACATGAAAATAAAAATGTGGGACATTAATCTGTTGCTTATCTATCATCTATACAAAAGACATGAATGCCCTCAACATTCTCATTATCGGAAGACCGAAAAGTTTGTATAGTCTCTTCCGGTGCAATCCAGTTCCATCGTGTGAAACACAACTTAAGGTGTTAAGTACAATGCTATAAATAGATAGAAAATTCAAAGTAAATGGACTTAATAAGCAAAAAGATCAAAGTGTAATGCAATAATTGTGTATAATTTTCAAAATATAATGCCTTAAAAAGTGAACATTAGAACTTCAATGCAATTGGAATGAATTTTTAGATAAAAATGCCTTAATAAGAAAAAAGTCCATGATACATTGCTATAATAGGTTATGATTTTCAAAGTACAATGCTATTGTGGGTTAGATTTTTCAAATAAAATATATGAATAAGAAGACTATAATGCTATGATTGGTTTTTTTTTTCAAAGGAAAAGGTTTTAATAAGAAAATAGTTCACAGCATAATGATATAATTGTTGGATTTTGCAAAGTAGAATGTCTTGTTCAGAAAACATTGAAAGTAGATTGTTATCAGTTGGTAGATTTTTGTAAGTACATAAATACCTGGATAAGAAACTTTTGTGAACTACAACAGTAAAATAGAAATATTTGTAAGTTTTTATTTTATTTTTTAAAATTTTGGAAATGAGACGTTTAAAAGTAGGACGTTGTAATACACAGATAAATGGAAATACATTGTTATAAGTGTTTATGATGCAAATTTAAATATTTTAGTTTTTGGTGGAGATGATTGTTGTGGAGGCTTTTCACAATTTATTTTTTATTTCTTGTTGCCCATATATTATAGGTAAATTTAAATGTTACTTTACTTTCTGTAGACTGTCACATTTAACAACGATTTTTATGTTTAATTGAAAAAACCTAGCTGGTTCAATATAGATATTTTTATGCATCTAAAAATGTAAACAAGATCACAATTCATCTTAATGTAATCCTATTTTATTCGTCTTAATGTTGTCCTATTATAAATAAACTCACTCAAATTTCGGGGGCTCCTTGTTCGATGAAATCTCACGGTAGATGCCTATTCTTTTTTGCTTTCGTTGATCATTAACCAAGGAAGGTATGATTTCATTTTCTAATGACAAAGGATGAAGTGTTTGGAAAGTTCATGGAATGTAAGAATATGGTTAAAAATGGACACTTAAACAAGTCAAGATACTCATAATTGATAATGGGTTGGAGTTTGTGATGCACCGTTTGACAACTTTTGCAAAACATAATGTATAGGGAGACACCACATTGTACGACATAGAACAGAAGAAAACAAAATGCATGCGCTAAACATGGATGCATCATAGAAGATACGTGTAATGATGGAAAACTAGAGTCGAGGGCTATACAACTCCTCGAGAGATTTGGTTTGGGAAACCCTTCGAGTATTATACTTTTTGTATATTTGGATCTCGTTGTAAAATTCCATTTTTTGGTATGTTATTATTTCTACATGTTGATTATTTTTAATTTAAGAATGAAATATATAACAAATAAATAAAAATAATAGCTAATAACAATAATAACAATTATTTTAGGAAAGGTTCAAAGTTTAAAACTTTAATTATCATGATTTTGGTACTTGGGCATAATAATGCCATTGTGGCAATTTTAAGGGATTATAAGTGAATCATGGGTTGTGATCATGGGGCTAATAATCCTCTAGTCGATTTATTTTCTTCTCTTTCTTCTCCTTGGGTGTGTTTTGATCAACAAACCTCATCACCACCATCCTTTCCCACCATTACCATTATTGCCGCCACAAGCCATCGTTTTAGGGTGAATATGATTCGTTGTTATTAGTTCGAATTCAAGTGTTGTACAGAGTAGTTGGATGCTAAATTACTTAATTAACTAAGTGATGTATAAAATGAAATCATAAAACCCTAGTTGACATATCTCCATTAGGTATTTTACTTTGTTTTCGCTTTTATACACCATACTTTGAGTTGTGGTTTACACCAACAAACGAACTTTTTGTCATCACACCTCATGGTCAATCTTAAGACCTCATTTTCTAGCTATGAGGTCATTTTTATAATGACTTAATTTGTTATGAAGCCAAATTAACCCAAAAGGCAAAGGAATGATTTCCTGTGATAATTCCTTGTTTCTTTCATGTTTTTCGTAAATCATAGTAAAATTATGGAAGGTCGGATTTAGGTAGGGTTAGTACCCAAAGTTCCAAAATTTAGTCGTGTAACTCGATGATTTTTCTTTAAACTGACTGATGGGTCAAACATAGGTGAAAAACCGAGATTTTCATTGATTAGTTTGGTTTTACCGGATGTGGTACACTACATTGTAAAATTTATAATAATTTATAGAAAAATCATATGGGATTGTGCAAGTAGTCTCTTGAAATCTAAAAGACATAACTTTAGGAATATGGAAAACTGTTGCAGTATAAACGAGTTTTGGTGGTGCTAAAGTGATCATGAAGAGACTGTTGTTTCGGGTCATAAACTTTAAAATAAATCAAGTAACTTATTTTTATATATCTAGGGATAAGGACTAGCAATCAACACTCTTAATTGGTATTATAGGTGTTTTGTGAAGTGTTTTGGTTTCGTTGGATTTTCAGGATATTACAGGAAGTCTACATTTCTATTTGAAGTGAGGTAATCACTAAATTCTATGATATTACACATCCTACACTTTAGCTTGTTTGTGTTTGTTGGATGTATGTGGGTAGTACTAGGATATTTTATCATATAGAAGTTGTACGATTTCGGCTCAACATATTGACGGATATATGTAAATTATCCGTTCAACGTAACTGATCCATTCCAAATTCATAGTTGATTAGCTAGTTGGATGACCAGTAGCTACCTTGGCTAACGATCAGTTGACATGGTACAAATTCGGTTTCATAGCTAGTTTTAATGTGTATGATTTGCCTATATATAACAACTAATAATTAATGATTCAATTGTATTGTAACGAATATCATTTTCAAGCTTATGAATGAAAGTATTTACTCATTTCTGTTTATGTAGGTCAGGCTTTTTGAACCAGGTAAATATTGAGTCTTTATGTGTTTGTTTGTGTGTGCTTATTTTCTTTCTCTTCTTGATAAACAAACCTATACCCTAGTTAACCAATAAAAGAATAGGACTAATAAAAGAACTTAAATACATTGATGATTTTCACATATGAAGCTATAACTATTTGAAATTCATTAGTCCTTACTTGGATGAGGTTTCCATTTATATGCTAGAGCATATTTTATAATAGTTCATCTATTATGGATATATTTATTGTACCGCTTAAGTGGATCATATAAGATGATTTAACTTTATGGTGATTTTCATACCACAATGCCAACAATGTAAAATATACACAGGAGGAAAAGATACATCAAATACCGTGCACATGTATAAAATGTTATTTAATTAATAG